AGTTTTAGTAATTGCCAGAAACTGGACCTGTGCGGATGGAAATTGTCCTATAAAAACCAGTCGTCAATACAGGACTTCCTCATTTAGTAAGCCGATGCTTAGGTAAAGCAGAGGCAAGAAAGGTAAAACTGCGTAGATAAAGCTGAGAGATTTCAGCTTCATAAGTAGGGGAAGCACTGGTTTTTGTAAGACAATTTTCACTCGCATAAGCTCAGTTTTTATTTGCTTTTGCTTTTTTTTTAGCTTTTATTCATAGGCTGTGACTCCTTGATTTCGCTTATTTTCGTTTTTTCATGAGCTCAGGTTTAATTTAATTTATTTTTCTTTGTTGCACTGTGTCATCTCTTACTCTTTTCTGCTGTCTTCAGTTCTTGCCTTGAACTCCTACTGGCACCCTCTTTTCTTCTTCCTTTCCGGTGCCCCATTGCTGTCTCCGGGGCTGCGTCTCCGCACCCACCGACCACCGTCCTCCAACTGCTCCCCTCTACCCGTCACCCCCGAGCACGCCATCCAGCCACTGAGAGCAGGGTAGCTGGTTGGTAAAGTGCCAAGTAGTGCTTGCATGTGATGTCGCAAAATGGTGTTAACTGGGAAGCCAGAGCATTTTTGAGTGACAGTCGAGCTGAGCCGAGTTCTAGAAATTGCCAAAAAAGGCTTATGAGGCCCCTTGCGTACTCTCTCTCACAGTGAACTGCCTATCCCGGTGTTATACAACTGCAGTCATACGCCGACCGCTAACGTCCCAGCTCATCGTGGGGCTGCGGGTCCTGTTCTCTTCAGAATAGCAGTAAAATGAAGTGTTTGGCTAACAGTTGGGAGTTGAAAATGATACTTCATTCTCATTTGCTTTCTATAGCGCTGCTGCAGCGAGCGAAAACGCACATTGTTGAGAGGTTGTGTGTATGTGTGTGTGTGTGTGTTCGGAAACGAGTGAACTTTGTTACCCACTTTTACATCTCCGCAACCAGGAAAGCTGGGAGGCTGAAATTTTGGGTGTATGTTCTCGCCCCGCGTCTCATCCTTCCGTTTTGAAATGTTCGCTCATACGCTCCTAGGCCTCGCGTACGGGCTTCCGTGAAAAATATGCAGATTCTTCTGACGGGAAACGATTTCGCGAATCAGGCAACACACAAGGGTGGAACTTTGCAGGGATATTCTCTGTGCATGTGCGAGTTAAAGTTTTCAAATTCAGCTGTCGCGCACGATGGTACAGCGCGCACGATCATGTCTAAGTTTGCACTTGGCACAGTGCTAACTCAAAAACTAGCTGGAAACAGTGGCTGAGATTTTGTCAGCATATTTATTGCCCGTATGGGAAATCGTCTACCTAAATTGAGTTCCGATTTGCACTTGCGCCACGACTTAAGGCACTTTAAGGGTATTTGTAACAAAGTGCCTATTTCGCTTATCGGATAATGTGGGGCTGAAACTTCGCTGGGATATTCTACTTTCATGTGTGGTCTTTTGCTTGGAAGTGAAATTCCTTAGAGATGGATGTGAGAAATACTCGACTTTACCGAAAAATCAGAAACAAGTGCATTTTGCAGCGAACGACCGCCCTCATCCTCTCCCAACATCCAGTTCGTTTACATACTTGGATTTTTTGACGAACGACCGTTCTAGCAACACTCCTACTTTTTAGTGAAGAACTGAATTTTTTGCATTTTCAAAAATTTGCATTTTTCAAAAAGTGAGCATTTCGAACGGCGGGCTTCATGGAAAAAACTGGTAATCATGTACCTGAAGGTCCATGCGACCATATAATGCAACACCACCCCAACTGACACCCTTTTTCCTGCGTGCCGGAAGAGGCCAAAGCACAAACAGTATGAACTCCAGTT